ATTTTCATAAAACAAGAAAGAGGACAGAGCGTAAATGAAAATTCATATAACGGGTGATTTTTTAAGAGCTTGATACCTTTTTTTTTAAAAAAAACGCATAAAATTTGCAAAATCTCATCGGTTCTTTATTTGAAACGTTAGATTGGTCCATGACATTTACTTTTTGAAGATAATTTCATTTAAATGTTGACCGCGGCTGCGTCTTAGGTGGTCCATTCGGAAAGTCCAATTTTGGGCAACTTTTTCGAGCATTTCGGCCGGAATAGCCCGAATTTCTTCGGAAATGTTGTCTTCCAAAGCTGGAATAGTTGCTGGCTTATTTCTGTAGACTTTAGACTTGACGTAGCCCCACAAAAAATAGTCTAAAGGCGTCAAATCGCATGATCTTGGTGGCCAACTTACCGGTCCATTTCTTGAGATGAATTGTTCTCCGAAGTTTTCCCTCAAAATGGCCATAGAATCGCGAGCTGTGTGGCATGTAGCGCCATCTTGTTGAAACCACATGTCAACCAAGTTCAGTTCTTCCATTTTTGGCAACAAAAAGTTTGTTAGCATCGAACGATAGCGATCGCCATTCACCGTAACGTTGCGTCCAACAGCATCTTTGAAAAAATACGGTCCAATGATTCCACCAGCGTACAAACCACACCAAACAGTGCATTTTTCGGGATGCATGGGCAGTTCTTGAACGGCTTCTGGTTGCTCTTCACTCCAAATGCGGCAATTTTGCTTATTTACGAAGCCATTCAACCAGAAATGAGCCTAAAAAGTAAAGCGCGAAACACATTTCGAACCGAACACTGATTTTGGTAATAAAATTCAATGATTTGCAAGCGTTGCTCGTTAGTAAGTCTATTCATGATGAAATGTCAAAGCATACTGAGCATCTTTCTCTTTGACACCATGTCTGAAATCCCACGTGATCTGTCAAATACTAATGCATGAAAATCCTAACCTCAAAAAAATCACCCGTTATAAGCGCAAGCTGGAATACACTTGGATATTAATGCAAAGAGGCAAAGCAGATGCAAATGCATTTTGTGCTAAATATATCGGTTGTCTCAAGACCTACTTGCAGTTATGTATGTACATACTATGTAGAATTTCAAGTCATTTGCGTTGCGTTCAAAATATAATAAATGAACCACGTAAATTTTACGGAGAGCAACTGCGGCAAATAACCGAGGGTGGGAGTAATGCTAACAAATAAGTAGCTGGTAATTAAAATGTGTTAATTGGTAAATGCTAATTGATAATAATTAGTAAATTTAATTGTAATGGTAATCGTAGTGGAAATAGTAATAGTAATGGTAATAGAAGCGCATAAGTACATATGATTCTAATGGTGGAGGTAATTGGTCAAGGTAAGGGTAATGGTAATAGTAATGCAAATATGTTAAGAGTTCTGATAATGTTAATGGTATTGAAATCTGCAATATTACTTGCTGGTAATAGTAATGAAACTGAAAATGTTAATGGTAATTGTCAAATGGTAATACATGCATAGTAATGGAATTTAAATGTTAATTGTAATGTTAACCGTAAATGTCTTAACCGGAATGGAAATGGTAATTCTCATTTCAGTTATTGGTGTAATGGTAATGGTAATGCTAACGGCGATGACAATTGTAATGATAATGGTGATTATAATGTTCATGTTAATAGTAATAGTAATGGTAATGGTAATTGTGGTAGTTATGATAATTTGAATTGTAATGATAATAGCAATGGTAATTGCAATGGTAATGGTAATGGTAATGTAATGCAAATAGTAGTGGGAATGTTAAAGGCACTGTTAATCATAATGGCAATGAAAATGACAATGGTACTGGTGCTGGTACTGGTAATAGTAATGGAAATATATATGTTAATGGTAATTGATAAATAACAATACATAAAATATGAAATTGATAATGCTAATGGTAATGGTAATGGTAGTTATAGTGGTAAAGATTATAGTAATGTTAACGGTTAAGGTACTGGTAATAATAATGATAATGGCAGGGGCAGTAGTAATCGTAATAGTAAGGGTAGTTGTAATGATATTACTATGGGAGTGGCAATGATACTGGTAATGGTAATGGTAAAGGTAATTGTTACAGTACCGCCGATGAGAAATGAAATGGCAATAGCGATGGCGATGGTAATGGTAATGATAATGTTAACGGTAATACTAATAATGGTTACGGTCATTATAATTACAATGATCACAGTATCCCATTGACGAAAGTAAACTTTTCAAAAAAAAATAATTAAACTAATGCAATCAAATTTTTACACCATTCGGCACTTTTGCTTAGTTAGTTCGCTGCCAATTATAGAATGCACATTTTTGGCTTAGATCCTCATCTCTGCTTTTAGTCATCGTTACTACATACAAACTTACTTTTCAT